CGGGCTGTAGTTTGCCCTTCCTTGTCCTATAGGGTCCCCAGCAGAAACTAAAGTTACCCTTGGTTGGGGAAACCTCTGAATTGAAGCAGCAGTGGTATTTATGTATTGATATCAATGGGAGTTAGGCCCCTAAATACTTTTAAGCATTTTGTACATAACATCTCTCCACGTATCTGTTCTCTTTCTCTCTGTGACCAAGTTTTGCATGCACCCTTTTGTCCCTCTCTCTGATTGTAGCTCCCCACTACCCCACCCCATCTTATCCCACACTCTGACTGCACCTGCCAGCAGCCCCAACCTCTGTTCTCGCTCACTGCTCTTCACAAATTGTCATTTTGCAGGCCTAACTGCTCTTCTCTCTCTCAGTATTTTTCAGCTGTTTCCTGCAGACAGGAAGAGGGTAGAAGCTGCATTACATGCTTGTCACCTTCCAAAGGGCAAGGTGAGTGACTTCTTGGGATATTCAGAGGTGTCCAGAGCTCCAGGACAATTCTTTCACTGGCCCTGACCTCTTGACCATGATGATGCTATCCCTAAAACAGCCCCAAAGAGGTAGACTTCCTGACCAACATTCTAAATTACTGTGAAACTGTATAATCTGTACCACATTGTAGCTTTACCTCACTCCCTGCCATGATGACATCAATTATTATTATTTCTATTACAGTGTCACCTAGGGCCCCAAAGAGCTGACAGTCTCAATAGATAAGGTAGACAAAAGGGAAAAAGAGGCACAGTGACTTGCCCAAGGTCACTCAGCAGGTCAATAGTGGAGTCAAGAATATACCCCAGATGTTCTGAATCCCAGGCCACTGCTTTATCCACTCAACAACTGCACCTTCCCCAGGGACACCAGGGACAATTCTCAACTACCCCCATTGAAATACCTTCCCCCAAAGTTTCCCCCAAAGCATCACAAACTATTTGCCCTGTTTCTCTAAGCATCATCTGATGCTCTGTGTGCTAATTCACACCACCACAAACAGGGATACTCCAGGTACTACAGAGCAGGGCAATAGGAATATGGACTACTGGCTCTAATAAGGAAGTGCAGGCAGACATGGGTTTGCAGTACTTGTGAGCTGCGGTTTCTGTTTCAGAATGATGCGATCAATCCAGAGGACTTCCCTGAGAAAGTGTATAAAACCTTCCTGATGAACCTGTGTCCCCGTCCGGAGATCGATGAGATATTCACCTCTCAGTGAGTCTTCCTCATGCTGCAGGGGCAGGCTTTGTTTCATGAGGGGAAAAGACAGGCAAACAGGGGACAATAAAGGAGATATGGTACAACTGAAGCAAAATGACTGGGGTGTATGAAGTGACTTCTGTCTCAGTCCTGCTCCTAATGTGCTTACTGCCAACCTCAATAGAGAGGGCAAGGCCTGGCTAGAGTATGGAGACTGATCTACCCTCTTCATTGCTAGAGGTGGTCACAGGTCAAGGCTGAATCAAATGGGTGGGAAGCATGCACTGCCAGTTTCTGCGCTTGAACCTGTGCAGTGGACAGGTAAAGAACTTCAGACCACGATTTTCAGAAGTGACCAATGATTTTGGGTCCCTCTGTGTGCAGGTGGCCAAACTGGTGACAGCTTAAATGGGTTTGATTTTCAGAGGTGAGTGCTCAGCTCTTCTGAAAACCAGGCCCCTTGATAGTGTCTCAAGTTGGACACCCAAAACTTGAGGCACCAAAAACCACTGATCACTTCTGAAAACCTTGGCCTTGGTCTCCAATCTGTGTAACCTTTCACCAGCACTAAATACGCAGAAATAAGATACAGAAATAAAATACAAAGAAGAGGGAAGGGTGCTGCAAGGTAGAGAGAGAGAGCTGGAGCCTTCAGAGAAAAGAAGGCCTTCTAGGAAATGGTGGGAGTCCAGAGAGAAGGGCATGCACAGCTAGCTGCAGGAAGGGTTAGCCTGCATCTCACTGCTGTAAAAGGGGTTTTCCAGTAACACTTAAATACATTCCGTCTTCCATTCCTCTCTGATTCTTTGCCCTTAGCCATTCGAAAGCCAAGCCCTACATGACCAAAGAGCACTTGGCAAAGTTTATCAACAAGAAACAGCGAGATTCCCGCCTCAATGACATCCTTTTCCCTCCTGCCAAACCAGAGCAGGTGCAGGGCCTAATAGAGAAGTACGAACCCAGTGGGATTAACATCCAGAGAGGTGAGTCTTGTTCAGCACACTGCCTCTCTGTCACTCCAGTGCTATGGAATCATCCCACACTGCACATTGCACTGATACTTACCAGAGTGTCTGGAGCAGCCAGTCTAACTCCTGCAGGCCCCTGTGTTTCAGCATTACCCACCTGCAAGGGAGCCAGGCCTCTTCGTTTCACTTCAGTTAATAGCTTTGTTTTCCCCGCAGGGCAGTTGTCTCCAGAGGGGATGGTCTGGTTCCTCTGTGGCCCTGAAAACAATATTGTATCACTGGACAAAGTGGTGCTGTACCAGGACATGACCCAGCCACTCTCACATTACTTCATCAACTCATCACACAACACCTACTTGACAGGTATCTCTCCACTGGATGAAACACCAATTCCAGGGATCTTCCCCTAGCTTCAAAGCAGGTGTGTTGTACCAAGCATGTGTACCGACACTGGAGATGGGTTTTGCCCCATGTATGCTAGGCAGCAATCGGGCAGTTTGTAAGGAATTGACCCATTGGAAAGGGTTTGAAAAGAAAAAGCATACTCTGCTCTTCTGTCGAAAAGTCACGCTTGGGTGATGCCAAGCAAGGCAAAAGGACTAGGGAGATCAGCCTAAATGCTCAAGACAATGAGTCACAGTCTCCTTGTGTCTGATGGATTCTTTTTTGGGATGGCCTGTAGCTGGGGTGTGATGGGGCATATATAACATTTGCAGTGTAGGAAGGGTGAGCAACTCCTTGCCCTCAAGCTCATAGCCAGGGTCTTTTCCCATCACCAACTCCATCGCAGTGCAAGATTATAGCTTCATCATCTGACTATATAGACAGGCACGGGTATTCTTGGGATGTGAGGGCTGGTTCCTGTCTTTCCTAAATGGCTGGCCAGGTGTGTCTCTCAGGAGTCCCTAGGCTGAGCAGATGTGTGCCACTCTTCACTGGCTGGACATGTGTCTATCCCTGGGTAGATGCATTAGCCTACAAAGTGATTGGGCAGGTATATATGATCTAAGATTTCAGTGAGAAGCAGGTTTCCTCCCCAAGAGTCAAGCAGGTGTATAACCCCATAGACTTGAAGGCAGATCCACACCCCTTCCCAACAGCTGGGCAGATGTAGATCCCTCAGGAATTCAAGAGCAGATAATTGTGTGTCCCTCCCAACTGACTGGGCAGGTGTCTCCCCCAGGGATGGTGGTAGGTGGATACCATCACACCTCATCCCTCAATGTGCAGAAGGTAAACACATTAGTATAGGCCATGCTTTGAGGGAGGAAGAAGTGTTAGGTAGGGCTCCACTGCACAGTTACCTAAAATCTCTCTGCAGTGTGGAGTGCCCGCTTGCCCTGGGTGTGCACAGAGCTGTTTCCCCCTCTTACTGCTCTCCATGCAGAGTGCACTCACATGAATAAATGGCAAACCAGAGTCTCTTCTTCTCCTCCTGCCCCTCTCCAGCTGGCCAGTTTTCTGGCATCTCATCTCCTGAAATGTATCGTCAGAGCCTGCTGTCTGGCTGCCGTTGTGTGGAGCTGGACTGCTGGAAGGGTCGTCCCCCAGATGAGGAGCCCATCATCACCCATGGATTCACCATGACAACTGAGATTCTCTTCAAGGTGAGGGATTGTCTCCACAGATTATTTGTCCTGATTTTGTACTTATTTCTGTGTACCGAGAGTGAATGGATGAAGAATGGGCAGGGGGACACAGGTGTATGGATATATGAGCATCTATTCAAGGATGGCCCGATGTGCAGGTTAATTGGGGGAAAGTAGATAGATGGGGGAGAGTAGCGGGGCTGTTGTATGGATGGGTCTGAATAAACGAGGTGAAATACTTGTGAATTGTCAGATAGGGAATCAGAGAGGTGGTTGGGCAGCTGGAGAGATGTATGGTTGAATAGATGAGTGCCTAGTGGTTGGAGGGTTGTGTAGGTGGATGGATGAGTGTGTGAATGAATAGCTGTGTGAGTTCAGACAAATGACAAGCACCAGGCATTTTTTCAGAAGACCACAAGGGTTAAGAGAGAGCCTTGTTGTCTTCTACAGGTTGATGTCTACAGCAAGTTTGTAATGTTAAATATCGGCACTATGGGGGTAATTCCTTTTGTCACGACCATGCCATGGGAGTACACGATACGCATCCAGCAGAGCAGCAGCCATCTGGGGTGTTGATTGTACAGCTTCCCTGACTCTACACTCAGAGACTCCACAGGGAAAGAGCCAGCCCAGGGTCACGCTCCATTGCCTAGTGAACTTGCTATTCACACTGAAGGATTTTGTTTTAGTGCATTTAACCACATAAATTACAAAAACCATGCACGGTAAAAATGCACCATGCATTTAACTCACTTCCCCTCAGTCCACTCAGGCAAAGCCCAGATCCCACCAGACAGAAGCCAGTTAACAGCTCTCTTGTACTTAGTCTGTGTTCTCCCCCTCCCCCCATTCCTGCACTTCATTATTACCAAGACACATGAAAAAATAAAGCCTTTCTCCTTCAGTGCTCAGGTACCTTGACCTGCCTGTAATAGTCAACGCTGGCAATTTCCCAGGCTAGCTCTTTTGGTATCATGGTTGCTTTTGCATAGCAGTTCGCTACAGACAGGGCAAATGATAGCACAACGGTGTATTATGGAAGCTATAATTGCACTGAGGGGTTCTGCTAAACCATGTGAATGAACCTCAGGATGGAATTATAGCCTGTTAACACAGCATGAGCCCGGTTTTTAGTTTATATAATACACAGAACCCCCATCTCCTGCTCCTTCCCTTCTCCGACCCCCGTCTTTCTAATAGTATCTTTTGCACCCTCTCCTCCTCTGAACTTGTAGCAGCTTCCTTTGAAATGCCGCTCAAGTGGCCCCCTGAAGTGGCACTGAAGCCGCCTTCCTTAGAGAGAAACTGCTTGTTGAATCAGGGTTTGGGGGTTGGGGGCGGGGTTGCATAGGTTGAAGTCCTTGGGCCATATTCATCCCTGGCATTATGCCACTGTCTTCCTCAGGCTTACACCAGAGCTGAATTTGGCCCAATGGATTGAACTCTGCAGTCCATGTACTATCATGCGGTATACAATGGATTGTGTGATATCACTGAATGAATGGAGCAGGAGTAAGCGGGGGCAGATAATTACAAATGAGAAAAACTATGCTCCTGTAACCTGCCAGTTAGCAACAATGGGAAAGAAAATAGAGAAAAGTTCGTTGCAGTTTAATAGGGGCCTGGGGAAAATATTATTTTAAAAAATAAATCAATATTGTTGAGAATAGTTCCATGGCATCAGCATTTGGAATGTTGGTAACTGCTGGTTGCTGAGCATTTCCGTTTGCTGTGCTATTAGACAGTCAGGATCAAGAAGGACTTTACAGGCAAATAAAATGACAGACAAATGGACAAATTCAGAGGAAGTATGTGTGTCGCAGTAAATCTTGAGAGAGTTTAATCAGGCATCACTTACACCTTTTTTTCTGGCCCCCTCAGTGAATCAAATTTAGTCTCTCTTTAGACACATTTACGTTGAATCGCACCCATGTAACAAGATATACACTGGCCCTCCTATGCCTTCCGCATCACCTCTGAATGTGAAGTATTGAGTATAAAAGAACCGAAGGGAATCCAGGTTGTACCTCACATGCTGAGAGACCAGATGAGAGGAGTGTGTGAAAAGGAAGTTTAGTCATGCCTGGGAGAGTCGCTGGAAGAGATCAACTCAGAGATGTGAAAGCTGGGTGGCTACTTGTCTCAGGACACTATAATAATGCTCTGTCTGTCTCTTCTTGTTTAGGATGTCATTGAGGCCATTGCAGAAAGTGCTTTCAAAACCTCTATCTACCCAGTTATCCTGTCCTTTGAGAACCACGTTGACTCGTGAGTATCCAGTGGTTGCTGGTGGGCTCACATCGGGGGAACTCACGTGAGAGAATTAACTTTTTGCTGTCTGAGAGGGGAGGTAGAGGCAAGCACAACCTCTCCAGCTGCCTGGCACATGGTTGTGATTTCCTGGGTGTCTGAGGCTCGGGGTAGAAAGGTGAAGCATTGGAGTTGCAGTGTTAGGAGTTTTTGTTGGAGGGATCAGAGGTGGTTGATGCCAAAAGATGAGAGAATTAAACCAGTGAATCCCATCCTGCCACTCCCATTCAACCTCCCCCAAAACGCCTAATGTTGGGGAGGTGATGGAGCAGAGCAGATGCTGTTAGTCCTGGAGAAGGGTTCAGAGAGCCCGTGTGAGAGATCAGGATGAGGGGAAGTTAGGGTTAACCCTTTGGGTGGGGTGGTAGGGCACGGTGCATGGTGGAGGAGGGTTGCTCATGCTCTTTTCCAGACTCAATAGGTTCGTGTCTCACTCTTGTTTTATTGCATTATTCTTTAGGCCCAAGCAGCAGGCTAAGATGGCTGAGTACTGCAGGACCATATTTGGGGACATGCTGCTGACAGAGCCACTAGAAAAATATCCAGTAAGTGGAAGATGCGGGAGAACTTTTATTGGGGAGAGGGCATCATACACACATGGATCACTCCCTGGTGCAGTCTGGCTCTGCCACCTGTATGGTAATTTGGGGGATCCTTTGTGGCAAGTGGGAGGAGGCTTATAAAGGCATTAAAGTCAGTGAGCCTAGAGACAGAGGCAGTGAGAGGAGACAGCTGGAAATGAGGCTGGGTGCTGAGCAACTTGGAGAATGAAGGGTGAACTTTTCAGCTTCAGGGCCAGATTTTTTGAAACTAGAGGCCTGCTTCTGCTCTAAGTTACACCTATGTGACTCCTTCAACTTTAGAATCAGACCCCATCTGAGTTGTGCATGTGAAATACATATGTACAGGCATAGTCAGGAAAGTAACATATGCAGCTGCATGCACAGAACAGTGGAGTGCATGTCCAGATAATTGATTGCACATGCAGCTCCCCAGTTTGCATGTACAAATGCATATTACCTTTTTGTAAACCCCATGCACATTACTACTGCTCTGCCATAAATATACATGGTGCTTTGTAGAAAAATAAAAAGACAACATCCGTGTCCCAAAGTGCTTACAGTCCACAGTACAGCAAGGCACAATGAAGGATGGCATGTGGGGTGTTGGAGGGTGGACAAGGTCTACAGCAATAGAATCACGCAAGCATGCAGTGCCTCTTGGGAAGAATCATGGTAGGCAGACAAGGTAGAGCACCTGGAAACCATCTGTTAGTTGGATGGATACAGAAGGATATTTGGGTGGTTCTTTAAATGGTGCTGGATGTAGGCAGATGTGTGGCTGGAAACAGAGCAAGGCACAAAGATCTAAAAAGTGTGGGCTGTAGATAGAGAAAGGTATAAAAATAGTGTAGATGCCAGTGAAAAATTGGCAGCCAGATGGCCAGGATACAAGATGTGGATGGCACTGTAAGCAGACAGGTGGATACAGGTACAGACGGGTGGATGGAGATGTTGAAGGATGCAGATGGTGCAGTGTGGAGACAGGCAGGTGGATGGAGATGTTCACAGATACAGATGGACAGCTGAGTTTATGAGCTCTATCTCTTTGTAGGGGAAATTCAATAAGGACTTTTCTCTGTTACAGCTGAAGCCGGGCGTTCCCTTGCCAAGCCCTCAGGATCTCTTAGGGAAAATCCTGATTAAGAACAAAAAGAACCAATCTGCATCTGAAGATAGGCGGGACTCTCTGAAGAAAGAGAGGAATGAAGCTACTGACCAGCCTGTCACTGTGGATGGTATTGATACTGGTACAATACGAAGTGGGGGAGGGGACTCATTCCACTCAGATGGGGTGGCCTGGCCCTTTGGAGAAAGTCCAAACCGGCCCAGTGTTATTTCAAGAGATCTAATATACATAAGTTCAGGCACTTCAGAGTGGAGCATGAGGGGGATCAGCTCCTCAGAATACAATTATGTTTTCAGACACCATATAGCACTAATAGTGATACCAGAGCCTTAAAATATCATGTTACCAATACATTGCCTGGTTATCTGCCAACCATTCTGCTTCTCCTGAGATGCACTGCTGCATATACTGGCTGTTGATCTGATGTGTGCATGGATAGGCTATATTGCCCTTGATTCCTGTCCTGCGTTGTCATTGACTAGCTCTATGGCATCCAGCAAATACACCATGACATATTTCCTAACCATAAATGTTTTGAAGGCCTGTACAACCTACAGCTCCCCCAGATCTTTTATCTCTTTTGCATCTTACATTTGGAGACCCCAAGACAGAACAAGTGAGATTTCAGCCCATGGAGTCTCCATGCCCCTGTTACAGAAGGCGCACAGAATGCAGGAACAGCTCCTCTGTAGAATAGCCAGGAATCAGGATCTAAAGTAAATCCACTCCCAGATTTGTCCCATTAGGTCTGACCCTTGGTGGGGGAAGTGGGACTACAGCCCACTTCTCATGGGAGAAGCCTATGAAGGGAGGCTGGAGGCTCTGGGGATACAGCCAACTTAGATCCTGTTACTGTTATTTGGGGCTAAGGAGACCGGCAAGAGGAAGAACTGAATTACTTGAGTGCACCAGCCCAGAGCAGTGCCTCTCCATATTTGGATGCAGCCATTAGAGCAATTTTGTACCCCTTTCGTGTTTCCACGTTTACACTGGGAGGAATTTCAGTTCAGAAAAGTGGCATGTTTCCCTTGCTAGTGGAGGCAGCATTAGAGGACATGTCGGCAATCCTTCATGCTATCCTGTCTAAATGTGCTGCTGGTGAACTCTGTGTATGCTTAATCTGGGCAGGTGATGTGACCGAAGAGGACCCAGAGGAAGAGGAGGAGGAATCTGGAAACTTGGATGAAGAACAGATTAAAAAGATGCAGTCAGATGAGGTAGTGCCACTGACCTTTCCTCTCTTGGTCCATTTGCTTCTTCTGGACAGTGACCCTATCACAGCTTGTTGTGGGGTCCCATCATACTATTTAATCTAAAGCCCCCTCTCCTCTGTCCCCCACAGGCTTGAGAGCCCAAGCTCTACCCCAAGCCACAACCTCAAAGCAACATCTACACAGCTATTCTTAGCATACTTGTGTGAGCTCTGCTAGCACAAGTCTAGACCCGGACTGGGACGCTTGCTTCCAGATCTAGTGTAGCCATAACCTTAGAGACCCAACTGTGAGTGTGTTGTTTTTCTGGGAGATGTCTCTTCATCTGTCTATTCTCGTTTTGCATAGGGCACTGCTGGCTTGGAAGTGACAGCTTACGAGGAAATGTCCAGCCTGGTTAATTACATCCAGCCCATCAAATTTGACTCCTTTGATACCTCAACAGGTAAGAAGGATTCTTGTCTTTTCACTATTCTAAATGTTTTAATTGAAACAGCTAGTATGAACTTTCACATATTGACAATTTCCAGCTATTTTGACTGCAGCTGTATTTGCAGATACTCTGTTGCCCCATGCCATCTTCTTTTACCCTCCTTGCTCTCTCTTACAGTAGCAAACATGGACATGTGCAGCTCACACATCCCTTTGTAGTCAATGGGTCAAATTCTGCTCTCAGTTACACTAGCGAAAATCAACACCACCACCACTGCAATCCATAGAGTCATTCATGTCTTACACTGGTGTGAATGAGAGCAGAATTTAGCCCAGTCTGTATCAGTATATTTGACTGGTCTTTCTCTTCAGTGGGGATTCCCCCTGCTGGGTGATGGAGAAAGCTGTACACCTGTAACCATGTGAAATGCACCTGCTTTCATCAAACACACCAAGTTCTTCAGATTCTCAAACCTGGGGCCAGTTTTGAGTGAACTGGGTTGATTCATGGTGTCAGTGAAAAACCTGGTAAAATGCAGAGCTTTTCATTGAGCTTTGCTGTCAGTGTTTGGGTTCACTTGAACCTACAACTCAAGCTAAGGGGAAACAAGAGAACTCCTGCACTGACACCAAAGAAACAATTTATGTTGCACACATCTTTGCCATGTGAGCCCCCCTCTGTCTGTGAGATTATAATGTGTGGTTTGGAAACAAAATTAAGGGCTGTAACTGTTGCTATGTTTTCTATAAAAGAAAAGGTGAACTTCTTAACACCCTCCCCAACTCTTTGCAAGCTGATCCTCTGGATGTGTTCATTTGCCTGTCCCAGATAAACCCAACCCAAATCCCAACAGCTCAAATAAACCTTTATGAGTACTCCTCCAATCCCATTTCAGAGGGCCAAGCAAGGATGGAGGTGTCTTGATCTGATCATGGGGTCCATGGGGAAAGAGACAGGCTGGGTGTTTCTTGGTCTGAGGCCCAGCATGAATGTGTCATGCTTTGATTGCGGCACTTGCCAGAGTATGAGATGGGGTGCTGGGAGTGCCTGTCTTTTAAACATTTCCCTCTTCCATACTCCCAGAGCAGAACCGAAGTTATGTCATCTCCTCCTTCACCGAAATGAAGGCTTATGATCTACTGACCAAATCCGCTGTGCAGTTTGTAGAGTATCCTTTTTGCTAGATGAGCTCTGAGGCAGCATTGTCCTGTGTACCTGAGTGATGCATTTTAAGCAGAATATGAAAGCATTACTCCCTGTCATATAGTATCATTCTGGTATCATTCTGTATGACAATGCACAGTCCCATGAGTGCTTGCAGGCTCCTGGGATAAGGTAAAGACAGCACAATTTGCTTTGGGTGCTCAGAACCTTATTAGCTCCTACTCACAATTCATGAAAAGTACCAAGTACACAGAGAACTCAGACATGGTACTATTATCTGGGACACATGTAGGTCATACTGGTCACAGGGCTTCCCGATAGGATGCCTGCTGCCCTCTAGCAGGTGCAGTCAGGACTACCAAATGCTTGTTGGTAAGCATAGAGAACATCATGTTATATAGGGATGCAGGAAAGGGTTCTCGCTTTGATACCATGTCTTAAAGCCTCTGGCGTTTATAACATGGGATGTTACCAAGGGATGCAGCCATTTCAGACCTAAAGAAGCTCATCTAATCTGGAACTGGGAGCTAGTCCCAGGGCACATGTGCAGCAATAGGCCACTCCAGACCCGTTTCCTATGGAGTAACTGCAGATATAACAAGCGACAGATGAGCCGGATTTACCCCAAGGGCACCCGGATGGACTCATCCAACTACATGCCTCAGATGTTCTGGAACGTCGGCTGTCAAATGGTGGCCTTAAACTTCCAGACAATGGGTGAGTTGCAAGCTGTCCCATGCTTCTCAATAGGTGGGGTTGTGTTCACACCCACTCTTATTTCCCCTCTTTCCCTCACTGGGATTTCCCGGTATTACCAGGTGCCTCTGAACATGTGTGCTGTTTGCTTTGCCCTTGTCTTGTCAAATTCAACCTACCCATGGATATCTCTCGGTCTCCAACTGAGCCTCTCTCTCTTGCAGACAGAGCCTTTTTCAGCAGCACAGACAGAGTTAGCCCTGCATGACAATACCTTTGAACTCCATCCTCCCACATACTATCCATGCAGTCCAGCATCTGCAGAAATCATCTCAGGCCAGCCTAATTTCATTCTTCAGATGGTGTGGGGAGTGTAGTGGTTAACACAGGCTGTTGGGATGCACAGCTACACCTAAGCCACAGATGCTGTTGTAGACAGCATGCACAACTAGGCAGAGGAGCTTCCCTCCACCGCACTCTAGCACTTTCCCTCCCCACTGCTGTTTCCAGTGTTGTTGATCTGAGGTGGGCACGAGGGGCTCCAGGGCTCCCCCTTCCCATGTCCACTTCAGGTACTGCATGCCCAAGGTGAGAAGGTGGGGAGGAAGGGCCTCTGTCTCTCACACATGTGCGTGAGAGTGTAGAAGAGCTAGAGGCTGGAAGTTGCAGTTAGAGAAATTCAGACTGGAAATAAAGTGCAGATTTAGAACAATGAGGATAATTAACCCTTGGAACAGTTTACCAAGGGTTCAGGTGGATTCTCCGTCACTGGCAAATTTACATCATGATTAGGTGTTTTTCTCAAAGATGTGCTCTGGCCAGTGTTGTACAGGAGGTCGGACTAGATGATCACAATGGTCCTTTCTGGCCTTGGAATCGATAGGTGGGCTGGGGAGAGGGAAAGTGGGAGAGAGGGGAAGGAAAAGTGAAAGTCGGAGAGACTGGTGGAGAGGGGATTGTATGGTATATGGGGCGTAGAAAGAGTGAGTGAATGGCAAAGGAAGGAGGAGAGGGCAAACATTAATAGCGGAGCAGACAGATTGAGAAGGGCTAGAGCAGTGGTCTCCTACCTTTTTACGCACAAGATCAGTTTTTGAGTTTAAGATCAACCCAAGATCTACCCTGCCCCTTCCCTGAGGCCCCGCCCCACTCACTCCATTCCCCCTCCCGCCGTCACTTGCTCTCCCTCACTGACACCGGGCTGGAGCAGGGGGCTGGGGTGCGGGAAGGGGTGCAGGCTCTGGGCTGGGGCCGAGGGGTTCGGAATGTGGGAAGGGGCTCTGGGCTGAGCCTGGGGCAGTGGGTTGGGGTGCAGGAGTGAGAAGTCCAAGCTCTGGGAGGGAGTTTGGGTGCAGGGGTCATATGGTCACACTGCACCTAACCTCATAGAATACACTGGACATTTCATTAATTTTACTTATTATTAGTGTCATTTGTGGTTTATAGACCCAAAAACCCTTCAGGGATTGTCACAAATCAGTGTAACATTCTCAACTGCAGTGTGTGCATTGGCTGAGCGTGGGGCAGGAGGTTGGGGTGCAGGAAAGGGTGAGGGGTCTGGGAGGGAGTTTGTGGTGCAGGAAGGGGCTCCAGGCTGGGGGGGTTGGGGTGTAGGAGGGGTTTGGGGTGCAGGAGGGGGTGTGAGGTGCAGGCTACAGAAGTTCAGTCTCTACAGCTCCTTGATACATACAGACCTTACTGCTGCACTCCCACAAAAATTCCTGTCTCTGTGTTCCGTTGTCTCTCTCCCTCAGATGTCCCCATGCAACAGAATATGGCCCTCTTTGAGTTCAACGGCCAGAGCGGCTACCTTCTCAAACACGAATTCATGCGGCGTCCAGACAAGCAGTTCGACCCTTACTCTGTGGACCGTATTGACGTGGTGGTAGCAAGCATCCTGTCAATAACGGCAAGTACAAGCCCCTGAGCTGTTTCTCTCCTGACAGAGCTGCACTCTCGCAGCAGGGAGATAACTGGCACCTATAGCTCCTCTATTTACCACCCAGGAGGGCTCTTAATGGCAAATGAACCTGTAACTTCCTGCCGGAGAGTGTTACTATGGCAACTCCCAGTCCTTTCAGTGTTTAAAATTAATCATAATCACATGAAAATAGAAAATTAGCATCTGCCACATGGAATAATCCCGGGCTCTGGTGATGGGGACGGAAGATGACGGGGGGAGCACTAAAGCAAGGAGCACCGGGGAAGGGAAAGAGGAATTAGACAGGCATGTTATAGGGAATGAATGGGCTGGAGGACAGCAGTGACCAAGAAAAAAGAGGAGACAGGCAACAGAAGAAGTGGCCCTAACCCTAATTCTAAGGCTGGAGAGGGTTTTACTAGCCATTGCTAGTTTTATTTCTATTTGTTCTTAGATCCTTTCTGGCCAGTTCCTCTCAGAGCGCAGCGTGAAGACATATGTAGAAGTGGAACTGTTTGGTTTGCCAGGGGACCCAAAACGTAAATACAGAACCAAGCTGACATCAAGTGCCAATTCCCTCAACCCTGTATGGAAGGAGGAGGCTTTTGTTTTTGAAAAGGTAACAACACTTCATGGTAACTCAGATAAAGGCCCCCTAAAGAGACCAGTGACCATGAGTTTTTTCTTTGGGGATTCCAGGGCCACATGAAAAACTCCTTCTTAGATCCATAAAGATCTTTGTGGAGATTCCATGGGCCAGAGATTCGAACAACCACAAGTCCCTCTATTGATGAAGGATCATTGGGAACCCTTTCTGGACATCCCAGAGGCCAAAACACTCCTCTCTGAGCATTTCAAACTGAATTTGCTAATCAAATGAGCCTTGGGAATCTCCAGCCATGAGGAAGCAGAAAAGATGAGAGTAAATACACCCATGTTGTTGTATCACAGAATAAGAGGCACTGTTTTAGGGACAATGGTAGAATAGTGAGAGAGTCTCATGTGAGTCAGATCATAGGATCCATGCAACTTTCCCTGGAAGAACCGATTTGCTTGTTGCTACTATTCCAGCTGTGGGGTTAGGGGGGGTACCAGCAAGGTAATAATAATGCTTAGTACTTACATACTGCTTTACATGTTCACCTTCAAAACACCCTTGGGAAAGCAGGGGAAGCTTTCACCAGCTCATGAGGCAAGGTGGGTATCATCTCCATTTTAGAGGATGGTTCTGAGACACGGACATGTGCAGTGACTAGCCCAAAGCCAGGGTTAGACCTCAGAAATGCCTGATTCCCAACCTGGAGCTCATTCTTGTAAACCATGGGGTCACAAAGCAGCTCTTATTGGGCAGTGGGGGATGGGGGGGGGTGATTTCCTTCTTGTGTTTACATTTTTACTTAGTGACACCAATACTCTGTTAGGAGTCATAGTAAGGCACCTGGGGCTTGAGCTCTTACGTTTTTCTCCCCAGATTCTGATGCCAGAGTTGGCTTCTCTCAGAATTGTGGCTTTGGAGGAAGGAGGAAAGTTCATTGGTCAACGCATCATTCCCATTATTGCTGTGCATTCAGGTAAAGTCAGGCCTTTCTGTGGAAACTCCTTCTGTGTCCTTCATCACTGTCCTTTGCTGTCCTGTGCAGTACAATATTAAGCTGAGCTATGCTAGGGGTTGGTGTTAAGGAGGTGACCCCATGCGCTGATGGAGTTGATGCAAGTAGCAGTGCTAGAAACCGTGGTCCAAAGTGCAGTGGTGCTCTCTCTGGGGATGAAGGGAGATGTTGTGCTGTCCTCTCTTGAGCACAGGAGATCAGTCATTGTTGCATTCCTTTGTGTTGTGTTTGAGGGATTCAAGCAGCAGAGACCCTCCAAACTCATTGCAGTGGAACCTTTGTGTAACCCATAATGCCCGAATATTTCTCCTCCAAGTCACTCACAGACTGCTGTGTTTCCTGTTGGGACATGGGGAGGGGGAGGGAATGCCCTCACTCATTCTCTCCTATTTTCTATTATCAGGCTATCACCACGTTTGCCTTCGCAGTGAGAGTAACATGCCACTCACTATGCCCTCCCTCTTTGTGTACCTGGAGATGAAGGACTATGTCCCTGACACTTGGGCAGGTAATAATATATGGAGATATACCTATCTCATAGAACTGGAAGGGACCTCGAAAGGTCATTGAGTCCAGCCCCCCACCCCAGTCAGGGCGCTTTTATTGGTCCTTTTACCAGCCTTAGTCTGAGCGTCATATTTGGGAGCTTCACATGGTTTTCCACCTCATTGCCAACATTTTGCACAGCTCTAGTTAGGGCTGAGGTTCAGTGAGAGACAAGTGGGAAAACAGCATTCCCAGGAACAGAGTAGGCAGAATGGCAGTGCCTCCCTGTAACTTGTAGGGAGTGCTCTCCCCAGGATGAGGTTGAGATAAAAAGACAGCGGGGTGGGAGAGAACCCGTCCGAGAGAGGGCTGAGGGCAGGGAGAATGGAAACACATTCTAGTACTAGGAAAGAGAGCGAGGGATTTCTTCAGTCTGCAGTACATCCCTCAGGCAGTTAGTGTGGAGAATGGCTATTCCCAGAAATAAAATCTGAGTGGCAGGGAAAGGGGAAATCTGACGAGTCCACTGACAATCTGGACCTGCTCTTTGTTTCCAGATCTGACTGTTGCTCTCTCCAACCCCATTAAGTTCTTTAATACCCAGGACAAGAGATTAGTGACGCTGAAACAGGGTTCTGCAGAGGTGAGTGTTTCTACACGTTCTGCAACGTGCTTTGTGGGTTCAGTCTGAAATGATGCAGGGTGCTCATCCTGATGCTTCCTCACCCTGCCAGGAGCAAGGACAGTGTAGCAGTAGTTCAGTCTTTGAAGGGTAAGAGGGGATTCAGTGTCTATTTCAGAAAGCCTTGTCTAATTCCTTGAGGCTGTGGATAGCTCCTGGTGCAGCGACTGTATAGACAACATAAACCACCAAAGGGGATCCTGCCTGGTGTCAGGAAAGTCATGCCCACAGATTGCAAAACTAAGCAGACTATGATGTTAAGCTCCTGGGAGATTCCATTGTCTCAAATGGGAAAGCATTGTACTGTTTCCCTCACCGGCTTTGCTAGGATTTATACTTATATTGATTGCTCTATCAGTCACCACATCTATTTCCTGGGTCTGTTTTGCTATAGCATTGATTCACGTCTGATCTTTGTTTTAGGGGCCTGACATGCAGAAGAGGCTTACAGCAGCTCAAACCAACGGGATACCAAATTCCACCAGGACTTTTAGTTTGCATTCTTCAAATGGACCTGCAGGTAAAGCTGTAGATGTAGGTGGGACTAAAAGAATGAGGAGGGAGATGTACATTGCTCAAACGTTGAAAGAAGGGGGTGCTGGATAGCCCTAGAGAGTGGTAATGGAATCAGAGCCTTTCACCTCTAGGTCACTTGCTTAAATTCTGGCCTCATTCAATACTGAACAAAAGTTGTTACCATCCAGTCACTCTTTAGGTGTGTGTGTGAAACGAGTGGGTGATTTCACTCCATTTCCAAGTGTACAACATTATAAAAATCACCATCACAATTAGCACAGTTGATAATCTCAATAGATAAACCAAAGGTCCAGTGAGCATGGAAACAGAACTATCTTCTTACCCCTAGAGGTGGTCGCTCCAGGTCAGAGTAGGGACATAATAGGTGCAGCAGTATGGATGAAGATTACATTGCCATTGCTTATGCTGTACTGTTCCTGTATTGTGAATAAATAGGGGAGATCACTTCCCAACATTGACAATGCAGCACCTTCACCAGCACTACAGTCACAAGAAGATAACATTTTGGAAAGGAGCAGAGATATGGTTAAAAGAGAAACACATAACTGAGGGCGAGATAGTTCATGTTGTAAATTACCAGCAGGCGCTAAAGAAATTTCTGTAGATTAACAAGTTGAGCACCAGCCTTCATACCCTTTCCTCCTTACAGTCAGACATCCAGACCTGGGGAAGGGTTTCCAGATTAAACCTATTCCTTTATATCCATTCAAGCCTATGGCACCAGGATTCCTGTGCCATGTGCCATGGATGTATAGGTCCCAATCCCAGTCATCTGAAATGATGAGTCTCACAATGACTGAATCAATGCAAGGATGTAGAATCCTTTTCTCTCAGAAATATATAAACACTAAACTAATTCTCTCATTTACTCTATTTTCACATTGTTCTAAGAAGCCCACTGACTTCAGCTGAATTACTCCTGATTATGCTAATGGTATGAGGGGAGGTCAAGGCTACCCAAATCCTCACCAACATTGGGGGCAGGAAATGTAGCTTGATGGATTTAGTGGATGACTTGGTTCTAGTCAGTAACACCTCAGTGTTCCTTACCTGTATGTTATTTTACAAAGCCTAATTTTGTGAGGTCCTGATTGCCTGTTTCAAAGTTCTGGGTGCATCAAATCCCATTGAAGCCACGTTGAGGGCACTCCACACCTGGCAAGATTGACCTTACTGAAGTTCTGTTCCATTGTATCTGTTGAGTGCTGATGAATGTTAGACACTCTATTGATCAGCTGAGCTGATCCCTGAGTTCCTTCTGGGACTTGTTGCAGCTTCTGTGTGTAATGTTTCTTCCCAAACAGCAAAAATGGCAGCAAGGGTATTTGATGCAGGAATATATACTTCCCCTCTCACAGCATCCCTTACACCAGCGTAAGCAAGAGTGGGAATGGAGCAGAGTCCCCGCTCCCCATTCTCCACTGCTCCATTTTCAGCCCAGAGTTAGGGTGTGAACAAGAATCTCTTCTGTGGTTTTAGGAGCTATGGCCCTGGGGAAGGAAGAAACTAAAAAAGAAGTTGCAAAAGAAGTTGCAGGTAATTACACCAATATTACTCTAAAGGGCTCTAAAGATAGCTTTAAGCCACCTTTGTGACTCCCCTGTCCTATGCCAACTGGGGCACATTTAGTCATCCTGCATATTTTAGAGTAGCTTCAGGACTGCTCTAATTTGTGCTCTGCTGCCTATGGCCCCAAGGGGACATTGCAGCAGCTGTGAATAGCTGAAGCACAGCAGCACTTCAGCCATGTTCTAATGCCTCCCAGCTTGCCCTCAACACACACATTGTACCAGGGTCTCCTGTAGGAGGCAGCAGAGAGCCAGCATCGCCAGTACCCGAGTCAGAGACGCTCCTATGTTAAAGGACTTCTACAGTGGCCAGATCTGCTGGCTTTAAGGCCCCTTTACACTCGCAGAAGCAGCACGAAGAGGACTACAGGGCAGCTTAAGCCCCCCTGTGGACTGAGCCCTTCATCTGTTGATTTAATGCATTTATTATTTGCCTATTTGTCTGCATCATAATGCTGTGTGATAAAACCAATACACAATATTAACATCAAAATAAAAATCTAACATGCCAGAATATACCACCAACAGGGCACAAGGATGAATCCACCTGCCCTCAGTCAAACTACCCCACTGGGATCAAATGCCAAATAACTGCCATCCATCTGCTGCAAATTTCCACACATCACAGTTATGAATAAATTACTCAACAAATAAAGGATATTCATAAATTAAAAAAACATTGTTAGGATGGAGTTATGATTGTATAAGGATAGCTGTTAATACAGCATATAGCTGAGTCATTACTTTAGAAGGCGATAGTTCATAAAGCCTAATTTTCTGACTCAAACATTTGTGTTTGCACTTTCTCCCTGAATTTCCTCACTTTCAAATGTTCACTAGAACTAAAGTTCGGTACGTTCTTACAGATTCCCAAGCACAAACCATTACTTTCCTTAGCACCCCAATAACCTTTTAACCACAGATACCAGAGTTCTAATGACTTGCTGCCAAAGTCTTTAGACTTGGAGTCTCTGTAACATTTCCCTTGTACCTTTCCCCATAACCCTTTATCTCCCCTAAAAGCCACTAACAACACTCTTTCCTCACACCTTGGAGGGGATGTCATACATTAGAACTAGAGACCATTATTCCCCAAACAATGTAAGACTATACTGATCATAATTAGGGCCCTACCAAATTCATGGTCCATTTTGGTCAATTTCATGATCATAGGATTTTTAAAATAGTAAATTTAATGATTGCAGCAATTTAAATCTGAAATTTTATGGTGTTGTAATTGTTGGGGTCCTGACCCAAAAAGGAGTTGTGGGGGGTCACAAGGTTATTGTAAGGGGGAGTTACTGTATTGCCACCCTTACTTCTGCGCTGCTGCTGGCGGCGGCGCTGCCTTCAGAGCTGGGCGCCCGGACAACAGCCGTTGCCCTCCAGCTGCCCAGCTTTGAAGTCAGCACAGAAGTAAGGGTGGCAATACTGGGACCCCCCTAAAATAACTTTGCGACCCCATCCCTATATTTTCCAACTAAAATTTGTCCTAGCTTGTGGGACACTTAATTTTGTGAATTTGTCTTGTGCCTCATGACATCCTGATGTGTCCCAACACAATTAGGTTGACCATCAGGACAAAATACAGAAAACTGGCAGCTCTACGGGCATGTACCCAGACCATGAATCAACCTGTTGCTTACTGACCTTGCAGTTACCCCGATGAAAGGGAGGAGGTGCTGGAGGCAGTGTTGAAAAATAGCCTGAAACAAAAGGAAATTAGAGTATGGAAAGAATGTCTGCATGAGAGAGAGGTAGGTAGGTGGGTTAGACAGTCAGCCAGGACGCTTTTTATATTGTATTTTAGAGCTCCAAACAGCCAGCCTTGAGGAACTGCAGAAGATGAAGCTTTTTATGAAGCTGCTGAAGAAACAGGAGAAGGAGCTGAAGGAGCTGGAGCGAAAGGGAAGCAAGCGCAGGGAAGAGCTGCTGCAGAGATATTCAGCCCTGTTCTCAGAGTTGGTCACCCAGTGTGGCAGGAAGAAGATCGCATGCCCTCGGAAAACCCAGAAAAAGAAAAGGTAAAATACAGCATAAGAAGTCCCCAGATGTGCTGTACGGCACTCAGGAGGCCTTGCTGACTGCACGCACAAGACGTGCTAAGTGCTTCCCTCAGAGAAACACACATGAGCCACACACTTCCCCTGTCTTCATGCCTACCCTCCAAAAAAGAGGCATGGAGGGGGTTGCCTGCCACATAGTTCCATAGGTGTGCACAGAGTTGCACATTCCTTTCTGAGAGGTGTACGGGAGGACTCTTTGATATGGTGCAACAACTAGAATGGATTATCTTCTGTGCTGCAGTAAGCATTCCTCCTGTGTTCCTCCTGTTAACAGGTGTTTGATTGTAGAGGAGGTCAGTGCAGGAGGGAATCCAGCAGAGATGGCAGAGAATGCTGACAGCCGAGTCTTGGAGCTGAAGGAGAAGCTGGAAATGGACCTAATGCAAGTGTGGGAAGAGCAGTATGATGGGATTCGGAAAAAGAAAGAGCAGCATGCCACAGAGGTATGGACTGCATGTGTACTCCACCTGTGCACTCACAGACTGGGGGTGACCCACAGAGAGTGTCACCAGCCAGGTTACACCTTCACTGACTGCTACCATTAGAGCATTGCAGATGCAGCCAGCAACAGGAATGCCCACTGACACAGCCCTAGTCACCACATTGCTGTATCCTTGCAGATGACATGTTGGAATAAAGCCGCTCCAGCAGATTTCATACCAGCTATAATCAAAGCAATGCCTATAAATGCAATGCCCACACACAGCATGCCCCACAGGCCGAGTGCTACTCACGGGGCCTGATCTTGTTCCTGTTGGAATCAGTGTATTTTCTCCATCTGACTTCAGTGGAGCTAAGATCAGGTCTATATACGTAGTGCCATCAGACACAACATATCCCACAGAATGCCATTGGTAGACACAGTGCCCTCAGACGCATCACCACTCACAGGGAAAATGACAGCCAGAGAGACTATACCTGAAGATAGGTCACTGCCCAAATCTAGTGATAGCCAAGGAGTCACCCTCAGCTCGATGACTGCCCACCAGTACAGTGCAACCCAGAGCCCCAGTGTAACAGAGGCACTTGTATCTGCCCACACAAACTAAAGGGTAGGAACATACACACATGGTATACCCTACAAATATGTGCTGTGACCCACAGGGATAGCTCCACCAAAGGTGCCCTGATGCAATCCACCAACACAGCTTGGCCCACATACACAAATCACAATTTGCAGACACAGTGTCACATTTCCAAAACCATGTTGATTAATTGACTGCTGTAAGTAAATGAAGGGTGAAGTCAATGGCAGGAGAGAGAAACCTGAATCAGTTAGCTCCTGACTGTGTACTCTTGTTTGGTTTTTTTGATCCCTTGAACAGCAAATTGCCAGACTAATAGAAGTAGCAAGGGAGAAGCAGGCAGCTGAGCTGAAGGCACTGAAGGAATCGTCAGAAAGGTAAATTATGATCATTTGAATAACAAAGTAATAATAGTATAGCACTTCGTTGGTAATCACAAAGTGCTGTACTGAGCTGGGTAAGCATCACTATCATACAAATAGACAAACTGTGTGACTTACCCAAGGTCATGCTATGAGTCAGTGGCAGAGATGGGAGGACAACTCCGGTCTCCTGACTTCCAGAATGGCACTCTATGTTGCGCCTCAGAGCATAGTAGCAATGAAGTTAGAGCTGCTCTAGCTGGCCAACACTCTGTTTTATATGGATAGCAGCTTGGAGTATTGTACAGCAGGTAAAATTGTCTGTAAGATGATTGTAGTTTGTGGATCTAGACATATGTACATTGCTGTACCGGATCAGACCAGTGACCTCCTAGTCCAGTGTTCTTTCGCCACCAGTGTCCAGTGCCAAATGCATGAGAGGAAGATGCAGGAAATGCTTCAATGGACATTTATAATTTTTAACTGTGAGGGTAATTAATCATTAGAACAATTTACCAAGGGTTGTGGTGGATTCTCCATTATTGGCAATTTTTAAATCAAGATTGGATGGTTTAACAGATCAGCTATACTTCAAAATGAATTATTTTGGGAAGGCCTCTGGCCTGTGTTATACATGACATCTGACTAGATGATCACAATGGTCCCTTCTGGCCTTTGGATCTATGAATTTATGGAGTAAGATGCTCAGAAGGGAAATTTCTTCCTACCCCAGGCAGGCTTATGTCCTGAAACATGAAGATTTATAGACTTTATATTTTATCCTGTTTAGTGTAATTGACGATATTTGCATTGTCAATATAAATGTCTGACTCCTACTAAGTTCTTGGCTTGGATAGTATCTTCTAAAAATGAATTCCATAGGTTAATAATTACATGTTGTTTAAAAAGTGTTTTTATTTATCAGGTTTAAATTTACTGTCTTTAAGTTTCACAGAAAGAAATCCAGGTCTTTTTCCTGAGTGGTTATGGTTAAATTAGAATGCAACAATGTGTACGAGTAATTCAAATGATTACTTCCACGGTGCATTATCTCACATTTTTCAACACTAAACTGTATCTGCTCTCTGAAGTTCTTTAGTCTTTTTTAGTCTTGACTAATACATAATTTTGTGTCACATGCAAATGTTGCCAACTAACTATTCAGCATATTTTCCAGATCATTAATAAATATATTAAACAACACTAGTTCTAGTAAAGAACATTGGGGCACCCAATTCTTAATCTTTTGCCATGTTGAACATTAACTGTTTAGTCTTGTTCTTTTTTGTCTCTTAGCTAGTTTCTGATTCAGTCGCCTCCCCTATAACTACATAGTTTCTTTAGTAGTCTTTTTGAGTGATTTTGTTAAAGCTTTTTGAAAGTGCAAATAATATCAACCAGTTCTCCTTTATCCATTATTTTGTTGACATACTAAAAGAATTCTAGTAAATTAGAGAACAGTTTTCCTATGCAGTAGCCATGTACATCTAGATGTTTTATATTTCTGCTTTTAATTAAACTTTCCAACTAATTTTCCTAGAACTAAAGTAATGTTCACTGGCCTCTAATTCCCAACATCACCCCCGTGCTTTTTTAAAAGATGAGCATATTTGTTATCCTCAAAACCTCTGATATAGTAGCTGAGTTTAATGGGAAATTGCATCTTTTTGTGACCAGCTCAGCCATTTCATTCATTCTAAAGGTCCTTTGTCCTTCTTGGCTGAATACCATCCTGACCTGGAGAATTTTTGCTTTTTAGCAATTTATTCCCTAGTGGGCCTGCAAGACCTAGCGATTCACTTGCATGTTTCCTATTTCTGATATACTTAAAGAATTTCCTGTTATTTGTTTTTGTCTTTGCTATTTGCTCTTCAATTCCCTGAGCCTTCCTAATTTCCATTTCACATGTTATCTGCTATAGGTTACGCTCCTTTCTATTAACTTCATATGGGCTGGATTTCTATTTTTTCACAATACTGGTTTGGCTCAAATATCCTCTTTTAACTTTCCCATATCATCATACAAAGCCTTTCTGCTTCTCTTTACTTAGGGTATGTCTACACTACAGGATTAATCCGAATTTAGATAATTCGAATTTGGGAAACAGGTTGTATAAATTCGATTGTGCGCGGCCACACTAAGCACCTTAATTCGGTTTTAAACCACATTAATTCGGTGGTGTGCGGCCACACTACCCCATTAACTTAAACACAGTAATTCGGTGGTGTGCGTCCACACTAACCCTAATTCGAATTAACAAAATCGATTTAGGCTCTACTCCGTTCGTCGAGGTGGAGTACAGAAATCGATTTAAAGGGCCCTTTAATTCGAATTAACTGGCTCTGTAGTGTGGACGGGTGAAGGGTTAATTCGGATTAACACTGCTAAATCCGAATTAATCCCGTAGTGTAGACCAGGCCTTAGGGTTATGAGTACTTCCTGTGTCTCTTATCAATATTCTAGCGGAGACAAGTGTAGCAAAGTGTTAAGAGTATTCAGAATGGATTTGCATGATGTAACCCAGGTATAATGTCCTTGTGTATTTTGTCCTAGCCCCCTGAGATCACTCACCTCAGGTAAGGAACATTTTAAATCCAGTAAACAAAGGGTCTTATTTTAGATCTCTTCTGAAATTTTCCCTTGCTACCAGGTTTGCCTTTCTTGTATGAAAAGCTCTCCAAGGTATGTGTTTTTAGAAACCAGTTGTTCATATATAGAGAGTGTCTGATGGTTGTTGGTCCCGTCATTCATGACATCTTCATCTCTGCAGTGATACTAAAGAGATAAAGAAGAAGCTGGAGGCAAAGAGACTGGACCGAATCCAAGTCATGACCAAGAGTACCATTGACAAGACTGCTCAGGAGAGGTACTGGATGGACATCCTAGGGCTTGGTCTGCACAGAACAGAGAACGATTCCAGGCAGGGAACTCCATTGCACTATGGTCTTTATCACCACTAGGCAGTTAGTAACCGCCACTACATTGGACATGGAAGGCAAACCCATATACCTTGCTCCCTTATCAGCCTAATTTCAACTCCCCTTACAGGATGGTATTGCTCCAGCTTTGGTCTGTCTTCATGTGGGCTGGATTTCCATCCCTCTCCCTGTTGCCATCACCTTCTGGTAAACAGGGACACATGCTGTGAGAGGCCAAATTTCTAGACACAGTAGTAAGGGCACTGCTGCAGTCTGCACTCAGCTCTTGCACTGCTCTGCAGCGCCTTCCATACACGTAGTGTTATAGGGGAAGATCAGCTCCACATAGTACAACCTTAAATGGTTTGATCCTGAAAGGAGCTGACCACCTGCAATTCCCTTTGAAGTTAGTAGGAGCTGTGAGTGCTCAACATCTCTCAGAATCGAACCCAAAGAGTCCATATGAAAACCCCCTGAGGTCATTACAAATGGATGAAAGTGTTCTGCTGTAGTTCTTAAGGCTGGAAAGCCTTGACTAGAGCAGTGTGCTTGCATGGAGAAGCATCTCCCTATGGGACTTACCACAAGTTGGTATGGTTGGTACCTTCATTTTGGTGTTTTCCACTATCCTAGAGGCTCTGCTCTCTTATTTATCTTAGTCTCTTACTCATTAAGGTAGCAAAGAAGCCTCAATATCTTCCAGCCATTTCAGTTTTTCAGATGAAGGCTGGGAATGCAGCCTTTTCCTAACACTCCTTACCTACGCTGCACCTTGGTAGAAATGGATCTCAGACTAGACTAAAAAGAAGCTCCTCCGTAAAGCCTCTCTTTAGAACCTATTTATGAGCATCTATTATTCACCTCAGTTAAGATACAAATACAACTTTTGAGACTCGTAACCTTAGTAAAGTACTTTGGATGCTTGTTCACTTGGAACATATAATGTTATATGCCACCTTCCTTTATACTGTATATGTTACAATAATTTTCTATGCTTTTTATTTGCCCATGCCTCAAATTGGTACTTTCACTAGCACATTTATATACAATGTAATATCCTTCCTGGTTATAAATGCAATTCGGTCTTTCTATATGGACACGAGCAGCCCTATCTTAAACATGAGAATTTATGGTAATTTTACAGACATTGACTAACTGGTGCCTTGGATAAAGATAACAGATAGATAGGATTTATTTTTACTAATACCTGCTGTTGTTGTGTTTTTAAAGATTAAAGAGAGAAATTAATAATTCACACATTCAGGAAGTGGTGCAGATGATCAAACTGGTAAGTGTCTCTGTGGAAACCTTCTGCAGCATCTTTGTTCTCTCCAAGGTGGTGTTGTCTTGTGTACGTACTGTGTGTGTGTCACTGGTTTGTGCAAACATTGAGCTCTCTTAGGTATATAGTCCTACTGCACTGGATCCTCAAGATATATGCAGATCCAAATCTTTAGTGACTATGCTTTCTGTGATAGTGTGACGACAGCTACAATCTTGCTAAGGATTGTAGGTCCTGCCAGCTGGAGACAGTGCATCACAAAAGAGATTTCTCCAGGGTTCTGCAAATCCACCTAGCAGGATGCTGCAGGAAAAGAATTTTCTAGCATGGCTATTCAGAGACATGACTTTATGTCCCAATATTGCTGGGATTATTCATGTGTTTAAAGTTAAGCATGTGTGAAAATCTTTGCAAACATGGGGCCCTACTGAGCACACTTTCTACAGTACGTGGAGGAGCATCAGTTGTGATGAGCAGATCCAGCCATGGTATATATTGTGTGTTCATGCAATGATCTCCCCATCACTATAGGTCATCACCAGCTTTTGAACACAGCACCTTGAGACTAACGGAGTAACTTCATTAGCTGGCAGAAATAGAAGAGCTAGAGGGGGATGTGACACGCACTTTATAAGCATGTTACATACAGCTTTGGCCATACTGAACTTTCTCTGCAATGTTTATACAGCTCCGCTGAGAAATGTCTCTTTTAAAACTTAAATTTGTTTTTTTATTCCTTGAAGATGACAGAAAAGATGATCAAGTACCAAGAGAAACTGGAAGAGAAGCAGGCAGATTGTTTAGAAAAGATCAAGGAGAAAGAAAGCCAGGTAAAGGCAAAGAAGAATCCAGGATTTAATATGGTCACTCGGTACAGTAAATCCAGGACTTAATGTGAGAGCCAGTCCTCTTTATGAACTCCCTTCTGATAACACCACCCTGTATAGTCTCAGTTCCATGTACACATATCACATATGATTAGTCCCCACTTCAGACACATCCCATACAAGTTACACAGAAATGGTATGATTTGGAGAACATGGAGCTCATCTCTAGGTCACTGCATCAATGCCAACCTATGCAAGTTGTTAGAGACCAAAAATTATTACTATCCGGAATGCTTCTTGATGGCCTATGTGAAGTGAGTTAGCGATCACAGTTCAATTTTCAGCAGACTATGGTACAAATATAAAAAATACAATTATAACTGGCACCCTTATTACAGTCCTCACCAGAGAGGCCAAGATTGCCTCAGCTATGGACAATAAATTGCCCTCTCCCCTCGTAAGATGAGCCTCCCAAAACAGGATTGAGACATGGTGGGGCTCTGATGAGAAGTTTACACGGTCACTGCCTTAATGTATGTGTTCTGTGGCTAAAGAATTTCAGCCTCCACTGCTAAAATCCCAGCCCTCTCACCAGCACTAAATTCACTTTTCAAATTAAGAATTCTATAAAAGCCCAGTTTGGAATGCACTTTACATTGCTTCTCCTGTGTTCCGAGAGTGACACCAGGACACATGCCTCTCTTTTCCCCCGCTATTTGCAGCTCCAGAAGCAGGCGTTGGCAGAGTATGAGGAGAAAGTGAAAACCCTTAGCATGGAGGTACAAGATTTGGCAAGGAACTGTGTGAAAGTCTGCTTCCCTCTGGAGGCTAATATCAAGAAGGAAGAAGCCCTGAACGCCAGCAGTGAAGGAAAACAAGGCTCTAAGGACCAACCAGAAGGAAAGATACCTGTCGCTGAGATATCAGGGCTTGAGACCTCCATGGCTGAGACCTCCATAGCTCAGCCCCAAACAGTTGAGTTGTCTGACCAGTATCGGGAAAGCAGATTATGAGAGATGCTTCTCCTAATCCTTATTCTGCTTCTGGAAGCTCATTTCAAACATTAATAGGGGCTATAGTAAAGTTAGGCCATGAAATAAACTTAATCTACTCAGAAGACCATCCTTCCCAGCCAGGGAGTTGTATGGGTTGCTGAAGTTCACCAGAAACTTACTACTTACTTCACTATCTTTCAAAATGTGGAAGAGAAGAGATTTTAGGGAATCACCCATAGATGGGAGGTTCGGTCTGTAGGAAACACTTTGTCTTCCTCTCCGGCTTAGTGTCACACCACCACGCCCCCCCCCCTCAGGGGGGTCCCCTGGAAAGGCAGATCTGCACTGCATGTTGCTAACACTGTTGCAAGCATCGCAAAGCATTTTGGGGAGGGTCAAAGGTGTGAGTGTAGAGTGGAAGATTTCTTTGCAGGCTGCGAGAGGGACAGGGCCGTGGGGGTGTGACATTAGCAGCAGGTATTTCAGGATCATTAGTGGCTTCATGACTGGCAATTCTGACACAGCTAGCTTGTCTTCATTATCTCAGACTTCATCAAATTTATTCTGTTTGTAGGAGGCCCTTCCACAGACTAGAAGCGAGTTGGAATGTCACTTTAAGGAACCTCATGCCATCAGTGCACCATTTTCCCTCGCTCAAACAGAATAGTGCTGGCTCCATGGATTTCTCCTATCGGCAGAGGAAAGAAGAATCTCAAAGAGCATTATGCTGGTGTTCACACACCATTTTAGATAAATTGCAGTGGAAAAAACCCCCTAGGAAATGGAAGGAGAGTACTCTACGATCAGTTTTCTAGATTTTTTTAAAATGTCTTCTTTTTCCTAGTGACTATTTTTCACTTCTGCTGTATCTTTTGGAAGCTGGTGGTTCTACAGATAGGTTTTATGGGACCCATTTAGACTTGGGTTGACCCCTCATAGAATGTATAGACAGAAAATCTGTAAGGGCTCTCTAATATTCACCTGTAGAAATTATGCAGAGAAATGAGCCATTTCTCCCATTTGTTACTACAAAATAACCTAGAGAACTCCTGTCCAATTCTCTGTGGACATTCCATAAAGTTTTCTACAGAGCCCCATCAAGATTCTCTAATGAAGCTATGATAACTCCATATTTGGGGCCCTTTTGGAAGCATACGGTCACAATTTTGAAAACTTTTAATTTATTTTAAGGGTAAATAAACAGAGTTTCCTTAAATGTTCCTCATAATGTAAGGACACCTGTTCCATTGGCTGGCCTACCAAAAAGTACAGCAATTTGTTTCAAAACCTGCCTCAAAATGCTGTGCGCAAGCTAAAACCTATTCACTATGCTTCTGTACCAATGTATTAGAACAAAAGCTCGGCAAACTCTCCCACAGGCGGTGCAGTCTGAAGAAGTACAGTGTGGGAGGAATCAGGGAAGAGAAACTCCTTCAGTACATACGCTACCCACAGGAGGTTTGTGGCCTTTATCTCAGCTTGCTAGGGGCTCAAGGAGGTTTTTTTATGCTGTTTGCCCTTTGCCACACGTGCTGCCATGCACTGTGTGTAACAGTGCAGTCCGTAGCGTCTTCCCTACAGTAGCTGCAGATTTCTGACTTCCTCAGTAGTTATTTCTAGCTGTAATTGCAGACTGAAGGGCATAATACACATGTTCAATTACACAGCTTAATTTTGAAGTATGTTAGTCCTGACCTTAAGACTTTCTGCATTTTTTGACTGCAAATGGGAATATGTGACCCTTAGATTGTCTGAGACCTGGTGTCCATTTGCTGCTGCTGCTCTCGGGTAATACCAGAGGTGAAAGTAAGCCGGTACGGTCCAGTACGGCATACCGGCAAGAGCCGGTACACCATGCCGGACCAGACCGGCTTCTCCTGCAGGGAGGCCCGGGCCCTTTAAAGCGCCGCCCGAGGCCCGCTGCTGGAGCTCCGGTGGCGCTTTAAAGGGCCCGGGGCTCCCCGCAGCGGTCGGAGCCTCTGGCCCTTTAAAACACTGCCGGAGCCCTGCCGCCACTACCCCGCAGTGGCAGGAGCACCAGGCCCTTTAAATCCCCACCCGACCCCTGCCACCCCGGGGTAGCGGCGGCAGGGCTCCCGCAGTGATTTAAAGGGCCCGGAGCTCCACGGCGGCCAGAGCCCCAGGCCCTTTAATTCGCCCCTGAGCCCTGGGGCGCCCAGCCGCCTCTGCAGCTGGTTGCTCCGGGGTGATTTAAAGGCCCTGGGGTTCTCAGCCACAGCCGGAGCCCCAGGGCCTTTAAATCTTGAAAGGCCCCGCCTCTTCCCGTTGAGGCCACACCCCCACTCAGGACTCCGGCATACCAGTAAGTCCTTTAAGTTACTTTCACCCCTGGGTAATACAAAGCTTTCTAGCATAAAGTGAACAAAACCAAACATCATGGGCCATATTCCCAGTTACTCATTTCTGCGCGTGGGGCAAGAGGAGAGTGCGGGGGGTGGGGATGTGTGGAAGGTGACCTTTGCATGCCCTGTATTCTACGACTGTTCAATGCCCTGCCTGGTCCCCAGTGTAAATTCGAGCAACCTCCTCAGCCTCTGGATGCTGGAAAGCAGAGAATAGCATAGTTCAGTGCACTCTGGTCATGCCCCCTACACCAGGGACTGGGACGGGGCTAGCAAATAACCCTAATGCCAGTTCTACAATGGCTGTTTCCAGGATTTCTGCATGCTTGCCCCCAATTCTTTTCCTGGTCCGTACAGCAATGAATTGGGATTTATGAACGCTGCTGATTTGATACACGTGATCTTGTGAAAGCAGTGCAGTTGATGCTATTGGAAGCAATAATCTTTACATTACATGATAACATGTGTTAACACCACTGCATTTATCTCTTGATAAGTCATTCAGCCCTGTGAGTCATTCATTTGGAAACAGTGAGACTTAATGAAAGGAAGTGGGACAAGCATACACTTTCACATACTGTTTCTGTAGGACTGCTACTTTTCCCCATGTTCTGTTTTTTTTTTATGACACCAAGTGCCGTCCCACAACAAAATTTCTACACTGTTGTAGAATGTTCTCTCCGGGTCTGTATCTTGTTTGGAGAGGCAGGGAGCGACAGGCTTAGTTTTAGTGGTTCTACAAAAAATGGTGGTTATTATACTGGATATTACCGTGATGAATGCATTACAAAATGTAGATAGACATGAAATTAGCTCAAGTTTGATACTACAGAGAAGTTCTATATCTGGTTTAGGGGCTGGGTAGAGGAGATAATGTACCTCCTCTGTAGCATTGCATTTGCATGAGATATGCATTGATTTTATTAAATAACAGGCGTGAGATTGTGTATAGTAAATTTGTGACATATTTATTTTCTGGAAAATAAAACATTTCTATAAAATTTCTGACACACTTTTTTCTTGAGTGTGGGGCAAGCTAGTGGGAATGGAATAGACTACAGTACAGGTGTGTGACTACAGGAACATTAAGCTTCCATTGTTCTCAGTTATAGATGTTCACAGCTCTGTTACTTTCCATGTTGCTGGCTGAGATGTTAACCCCACTGTGCATTTCTTAAATAAAGCTTTAGTTAAGTGGAAGGATATTCTTAATGTAGTATGTTTCTCATGCATGTACTCCTTCCCAGATAGCAGTGGTCCAATGACTTCCATATTCTATTGATAACTCTGTTTACATCAAAGCAATTTATACCACTAGAATGTCATTCCTCACCCTTAAATCAAGGGTCCAGAGTTATCCTCACCTACTCTTTTTCAGGGTGGTGCCTTCTTGCTTCCTTCTCATGAACCTGAGTTACGAGAGAACTCCAACAAAGACACACAGTTCCATTTAATTAAAAAATGCAGTTCCAGCTGGAGAGGGCATCCCAGAACTTGGAGGCTTTTCATTATCTGGATCCGAATTCTGCCTCTTGGGTTCATCTCTAGTTATACCAAAAAAAGGGAGTCCCAAGAGACAGAAGGATCTTTCTGTTGATATGCCTACAGAAATTAATCTGGCAGCAATATTAATCATGGGTGAATCTGGAAATGTGCTGCAGTTGGCCAATACCAAAGCCTAACAAAACTCAACTCAGTTTACTTCGTCACAGTTCGTGTCAAACAGAAGTAGACTGAAGGAGTTAGTATAAATGATGCTGCAATCACTGCTGTTTCCCATGTTCACGACCAGCTACTTGATGTATGTGTGTGCGTTATGTACATGTACAGCTACTGTCAGCTCAGCAGCAGCAAAAACCAAACCTTGTTTACAATCTTCATAGTCCCTTCCCTGGATCACAGCCAGGCCTGCTAAGAACCAGCCCCTCATTCATCACAGAACCAGCTCCCATGCACATTCAGGAACTGCCCCTAACTGAAATCACCTAAAAATGTAGCTGCATCACTGGCCAAAATCATCTTTTTTTTTAAACACTAAATTGTGCTAGACTGCAAATATGGCCATTGCATGGTCCAGTTCATGAACTGCAACAGGCCTCAAGCCAAAGTGGGCTGTGGAAGGCACATTGTTTTGGTTTGCAGGCCCAAATATGTAGAAGAAATTTGTCTGGTCCATTAAAACAGGCCTTGTGCCATAGCCAAACATCTCAGCCAACAAATATAATTGCACCACCCTAAGATTTCACTGTACTGATATTGTGAATAAACAAATGAAATGAATTCTGACTTACTTTATTGGCTTGTAAACATGGCATAATTATTGATCCCCTTTGTTCTTTCTTGCATCAGCTTCTCTTGGCTAATGTAGCCT